CACTCTGCGGCAACCCGGGGGTGGCCCCCCCCTCGCGCGACCACGCGGCTGCCCTCCACCCGCCCTCGCCCTCCGTCCTCCAAGCCCCCTGCCCGTGCCGGACAATATCCAGAGGGAGAGCCCAGCCCGGCGGAAAAAAATCGGACTAGGGGGTCCTCTCCCTCCCTCGCTCCAGCAGCTGCTACCTCAAGGCGAGGGTAACATAAATCATCATCAACATCATCATCACCTCTGGATCATGGAGCCCAGCCCCTGCCAAGGAGGCAAAGGAGGGAATCGAACTCCCAGCTCCTGGATCCGCAGTCAGATGCCCAACCCACTGAGCTCTCTAGCAGTTCGGAAAAGGTCACATGCTGTGTATTTCCTTCCAATATATATATTAAAAGTATCATTTATAATGTAGGCTTTGCACAGCATGCTAAGAGTTTCCTGGATTAAGAGGGTGGCCGGCAAAAAGGGACTCAGGCCAATGAATTTTTCACAAACGAAAGCAAGGCTAGAACTCATAACAGGCAGAAAGCTAGAACACTTCCATCATGCAAACGAAAAGCGGAAGCAGCTGAGCCAGGATACATTCATAAATTCTGTTCTCTAACCAGTGGCTTGAACGGAGAGAAGAGCCTTCTGACAAACCCCTATGTTTAATAGAACAATTTAAATATATATATTATTATTATTGGTTGAAAGGATTTCACTGAAAGGAAGAAAAAACTCAAGAACACAACCAGACAGCCGGAAAAAATCTACAACAACCGTTGAATCCTGCCTGTAAAAGCCTTCGAGAATACATTATTATTATTACTATTTGCAGCAGCTTCATAAACAGATTATATTACTTCTCTGAAAAAGGCAATAAGCCACAACAGGTCCTCCTGGATTCAGCTAAAGCAGGCCCCCTCTTTGAAAACAGAAACCGAAGATGATCCCTTTATGTAACAGACCTCAACCTCTTGATGTGTTAAGCACCCCTGGCGATCACCTTCTCTGTCCACATCACTCTGTCAGCTGAGGGTCAGTGATGGTCAGAGATGGTGATGGTAGCAAGCGAGGTGCCAAAGAGCGGCCCATCCATTCCAGGTTAATGGCAAGAAAATCTCTCTGGAAACCTCTTGGTGCTTAACCCATCCACGCTGAGACGTTGTTGTTATAAGTACCTCAGACGTTTGGCTCTGCGGGCCGTCTGAATTTGAGCCCTGACATATCAGGTACCAAAAAAGAAGCCATAAAACCAATTCTGCTCCACCTACTTGCCCAGAATGTGCTTTGGATGTGACGGTCTCTGTACACGTGCAGAGCACACTTTCCCCCCAACACAGATAGATCTTAGAGACTTAGACTCTGTACACGTGCAGAGCACACTTTCCCCCTAACACAGATAGATCTTATGAGACTTAGACATTAAAAACAAAAAGCAAGGATTTCCACATCCAAAAACGGATGGCGAACATAAAAGACCCTTTCCCTTGAGCCACGTCAGTGGGTGCTGTTTTCGGCGCAGGATCCGGCTCATGGAATTCTCAAGAGTTTCTACCTGCTGCCCCGTCGCCATCGCGGTCCTTCCCCCACCCCTGGCTCTGCCCTTCTTCTCGGACCCCATTCATCGCCAAGCTGTCATGGGCCCCCCTTTCAGCCCTTGTGGAGAGCGAAACGTGTCCCCCCCCCTTCTCCAACTGAATATTCATCAGGCTCCTGAAAAAGAACAGGTCAGGACCAGACCATCTGGCAGGCTGCAAGCCCTCAGCACTTGGGGTTTGGACGGGATGGCGAGGAAAATGGCAGGGAGCGGTTGCAGCTGCCGGCCCTGAGAGAGAGAGAGAGAGAGAGAGAGAGATACAGAAGGGCGGCTGGCTCATTCATTCATCTGGAGCAGCCGCCCGTCCACCCGCCAGCATGGCTTGGGAGAGTGGGCTGGGGTGTCAGTGTCCAAAGAGGGGCCGGGATCAAGAGGGAAGACGAGAGCCCCACACACCTTGCAGAAGGCCCCCGGGCGTTGTCGCCTGCAATCGAAAGAAGGGGCTTCTCAAGGAAGGGAGGATTTATTATCTTAGGGTCAACCTCCGTTTGCTGGTTGCCACTAGAGGAAACCCGTGGAATGAATGGGATTTACACAAATGCCGACTTGCCTTCCTGCCAGGGGAGTCCACAGCGTTGCCCTCTTGCCAGGACCAGCAAAGGGGAGCGAGCAGCACCCTGACAGGCAGGCAGGCAGGCAGCCTGGCTCCCTCTCTGAAATGGGCAGGGAGGTGGTCGTGTGTGGGTTTTCCCTTTCTCTGGCATCTCCAAATCCAGATATTTCTGCTCCAAGATGTGCCCAAAGGGGAAAAGGCCGTCGAGGGCAGGTGTCTGTTGCTCAAATGCCAACTGTGTGGCAGCTAAAGTGAAGCGAGCAAAGGCCAAATTCCAGCAATCAGAACCAGGACTCGTGGTCGGGGGGGGGACGGACCCAGCCCAGCCATCTCTGGTTCCCTACCGAGACGTCACAGGGGTGGGGGGAATCATTTCCCCCCTTTTGTGGAGAGAATGAGTATTTGGAAAAACATGAGCTATGAAAATGCTTTCCCAGACAAGGGACTCTGGCAGGGAGAGATGGTGTTGCTTCACAGAAAGCTCACTTCTATAATAATCACCAACGTGTCAGGTAGGTGTTCCACAGGTACAGTGGCTCTTTGCACACCCAGCATTTGCACTGACTCTCCCCTCCGCTCTGGACGTTGCTCTCTCATAAACTGCCCGCCGTACCTCACTTCCCTCTTTGTGGTCCAGAACTTTGCAAACAACCAGATTTTGGCGTCACCTTCACAGAGCACATCAAGAGTGTTCAGCTTAAATGGGTTTCTTCATTTGTCTGTGCACATTTTTGCACCCAAGACCAATGTGGACCCCACAGACAGACCGTGTCAGTCGCCTAGCCAGCCTCGTGTCCTGCAAACACCTGGAAAAGCCGACGCTACCTCTTCTATCCTGTACAGAGTACTAGTGCGATTCCAGATTTGCCAAGAAACAACCTTACACACAAACACACACCATCACCTGCGACAAGTCTTACACCCAGGTGACCAGGAGGGCAACCTTTATTTGATTCATCTTTATTTCCGAATGGGTATGCCTTGCTTTTAAAACCAGGAATCAAAGCAGCTTTTAAGAGGAGTAAAAAAACGACCTTCTTAAACTTCTCCGATTCAAAAAATGGAGCAGTATCACAACCGCTCTGAAGCAGATGGTCCATTAAAACAGCAGATTCAAGAAAAATATGCTTCCCAGATTTCTTTTTGTATAAAAAAGGGGTTTTCAGTCCCCATCGGAAAACAGAACGAAAGGGGGTTGTGCAGATCTTTCCAGAGAGAGCATTCCACAGCTGTGGTGCCTCGGCTGGGAAAGCCTCCAACCCTCATCTTAATATCTGGCCGGCCTCGCGGCATAACTTTACAACAGCGAGCGAGCGAGCAGGTTTTCTCTTTTATGCCAGGGCAGGCTAATCACTTTGGGGGAGTTATTTACAAAGCAAAGCTAAAGGCCCCTCACATTCAATGGAGGGGAAAGAGGCACAGAAGGTTGATGTCTGTTCCCCCCCCCCAAAAAAAAACCACACACACACACACACACACACCACTTCTTGCTCTGGATGGTCCTTTCACTCCAGCGAACTATGGGTGTTGCAATCATTGTGTGATGGGAATTACATGTCTGATCCCTTTCATGTTTTGCCCCCAAATGCACAAAAACCTAACACAGAAGATGGTGGGGTTTTTAAAAAAGCTGATACATATATCAGTTGAAGCAGAACTTGATGCACAAAGTGGTCTACACAGATCCCCTCCCCAGTCTCTGCTCACTCGATCCTGCAACTGGAGGTCAGGGTTGTGCTCCAGGAGAAAATGTCCCACTGGATTTGTCAGGATTTGCAAGGGTCTCTCTTGCTTTGCTCATTCCATTTGTCAACAACAGATTGCCAATTTTGGTCCTAAATGGAACTCAGTCCCGAGCATGCTCGCCAGGTCCAAGAACCAAAAGCTAAAACCATCTTTTGCGCCCACCACCACCCAGAGCAAGACTCCTGGGTTTTATTTATTTATTTTTGAAGAGACACGTCCAGGCCTTCGTACAGCGGTGAACGCCACCCCGTACAGATCCCAGATCGCTTTCTCTCATCAGCCGAGTAATTCTTTTCCCTTTTTGGACAGGATAACATTGGCACTTTATTCTTCACCTCCTGCCAACGTTGAACTGCCGATGACACAATGCCATTCCTGCCTAGAGGCCCTGGGCAGCGCAAAATGAGGCAGGATGATGCCCTGCTCCTCCCTCCTGTGTCCATGGGCATCTGAAAGGCAACTTTGGGTCCCAATCAGCGAAGGCACTAATGCAAGCCACATGTCATCTTT